ACCTACATACAACCTTCCCAACCCTGGAAAATCAGGGATGCCACCACAGGCGGGAGCCGGCGCTTGGCTCTGTCAGGCCTCCAATCCATACTCCACACTATCCACAAATACACCTTTCCACCCTCAAGCGCTGCCGCTGCTGCCGCCGAGCTAGTGAGGCTCTATGTCCAAAAAGGACACAATCGCCAAGCCTGCCACCGTTTTTTGAAAAAGCGCCGACGACGGCAACCTGTGTGTGTCAACCCCTGGGCCAAGGGTTTCCTACCGCCACTTCCACTACCACTTTTTAACCACTGTTTCACCAGCAGGGGGATGGAGAGGACACGTGAGGCTCCATCCAACGAAGCTCCTCACGTGCTCCTAGGATATCATCAGGGACGCCTGATGACGTACCTGCACCGTGACACTACTCCACTCTTCCTGGCTGTCTTTTGATGCCATGGTCGTTCATGTTTCTTCCCCCAAACCTTTTCCCACCGCCGACCTGCAGCCACTTTACCACTGTGCGTTTTCCGCAGTCAAGTGTGAAAACCATTTTTTGAAACATCTACAATTGCGCTGACTCTCCACCTTACCGTTGAGCCATTCCTTTTCTCGGGAAATTGAGTTAACTGAATACAATTGTCAGAGTGTGTGTCTGCGCGTGCGTGCTATCATGTCGTTGTTGTAACATGTTGCCACTCAGTCGCGCCAACGTGCAAGTGTGCGCAACGTGCTGTGTGTGCTGGCATGTGCTGGCTGAGACCCCAACATTTTGTCAATGCTGACATGCCCAGGTGTTGTCGAGTGGATATGCTATGCTGACGTGGTGTCATGTTGAGGTGCTGTATAATTCAATGCTGTCATTCGGACATGTAAACACACTAGCATGTTGTCACGCTGGTAATGGCGGCGCCGCGTTACGCTCATAGGCTGTCACACTGACGTGTATTCACTGACCTGGGTAATGCTAGCAGGCACACACGTTGTCACGCTGAGATACTAAGATTGGGTCACTCTGTCGTGCTGACAGGCTCCAGCGCGGGTTTCGGAAACGGATGGTTCTTGCTTGTTCCCCCGTTGTCATAGTTGCCGGTGTCCAAGCGCGTGTATGCTATGCCAACATACTGCCTTGCTGTGATGCCCCCATGGCGCATCGCAAAGACTGACATGTGAGTGCGAGCTCGTGATGTTGCCATTGCCTAATGGGCCGATTCATGGTCGGCTGTTACGATTTTTCCCGGGTTTATACCTCTTTTGCTCGCTCTGGCGGGAGCGCTGCGCCCTGTCACCTGTTTGCTGTTGGTGAGGTTGGATCCCTGGTGACTTTAGGTTGTGGTGGGGTTGGTGGGCTGTGGTTCTTGACATTTTGGTGCTGGGCTTTTGGTGTCCACCTTAATTAAATCCAAAAGGCCAGGCTCTAAACTTGAAGATTGCCAAAAGCCAGCCTACGAATGTCACCAACTGGAGTGCCCCTGGCAGGCCTAAAAAAAGAGCAATTTTTTTGGGCCAACCTCATCATTCAGAGAATCTTGGGCGGGTTGGTTTTGTCCACTTTATGCTGTTTTCAGCCAGGGAACTTTATTTTGGTAGTTCTGGTGCCCCCCCATGCTCATGTTGTCAACAGATCTTTGCAGAGGTAGGCCCAGAGTACTTTATCTTATTATTTCAGGGTGGGCAACCTGTTGATAACATACAGGTATATTTTAGCTGAGACGTGTCACGGAAACAGCTTCGAGGCAGCAGCATCAACAGCCTGAACCGCAAATCCATACAAATCCCACTGTCACCGCCTGCCACCTGCGCAGCAAAATCATCCTCCGTTACGTTTCTATGCGATTCTGGGCTATTTCACACGAATCTGCCACTTCATGCTTCCTTCCATCCAAAACCTCCAAAAACTTCCCCCACTGTCACGGCCTTATTGCTCACAAACGGCCGCTTGTGCACAGCTGCGAACATGAAAACCACGTCACGCGAACACAGCTCTACCCTCAGACTCCCAAAGTTAAACGAGAACCCTTCGCCACGCGTTCGGGAAAAAGAGTGTATACTGTATTTGCACATAATGAGTCATCATCACATTGTTTTGGGGTGAGATGAGCTGACTTGCCTTGATGGTGCGATTTTGCAACTCTACAATTTTCGAACATGTTCAAAGGATTTGACCTCTGAGGCCATTGAAACTGAGGAAGCAAAGCGGCAGTTGAACCGAATATTCGACGTGGTAGACGTTCCTAAGCGGCAAAGTTTGTTGTTGACAGTTTTGTCACCGATCAATTGTTGCTTTACTAAGCGAAATGGCTCATGTAACATGTAACATCAATTATTTTGCATGATTGGCTGCTTCCACTTAGCATCGCCAAGTCTTGTTTCACTGGGTTCATGTGCAGAGGGAGGGAGGCTTGATTCATTGAAATCCCGTTTGCTGATAGAGTCAGACCTGTGCTTTCCACACAAATCAATTGCCAAATCTGGAATTGTTAAATTTGTTAGATGCATGTTTCCTAATTTCTAAGGTTTGAGGATTTTGAGGCATTAGGAAGTACGGAACAGGATGCCGTTGCCTAAGGATAGTGGCGGTGGCAAAATTGATTTCGAGGAGCTGATAGATTCTTGGCCCTAGTAGCAAACATTGCTCCTAGTAGGAAGGCCAGGAGCCCCTAATAGCGTCCTTGCTCCTAGTAGTACGGCCAGGAGCCCCTAGTAGCGTCCTTGCTCCTAGTAGCGATGCCAGGAGCCCGTAGTAGCGCATTTCTTCCTACAGCATTTCCTACGGTGGCGTTCGGGGATGCTAATGTCAAGAACATGCAGCCGAGGCATTTATCCGCGAGCAGTTCGATGACGTGCTGGATGTTTGGTGGCTGAGTGTACTGATTGTAAACAAAGCTCAATGTTCGTTAATCGTAAACACTCCACATATCTCCAAATTATTGCAATTTTGCTCAGGAAGCGTCTGATGCTTTGCGAAACCCAGTTGGTGTTGCCAAAAAGATAGGCGAGAGAAAGGCCATGAAGGCCAGCAGATGTCAACTTCGACCGATTGTGTCCTCCATTAGATCAGATGTCGATTACTCGAGCTAGTTGCGTCGACTAGTCAATGGCTAGGCAGCGAAGTTGTACAAAGATTATGACTCGCAGCTTGGCACAGCTTGGCCGAATACAGCTATCAGTGAATTGAACACTAAGAGAGCATCGATTGTTCTAAGGTGGGATTCACCAGATATCCCTGAGCACACCTCAATGATAGGCAATTGGATTGTACTTGCGATTTAAAAGATTTTACAAGGGTTTGCACTTGGTGATTCAACTATGTCGATCAGGATTTCCCTCGACATCGACGAAGGTTCCTGTGACACCCTGCTAAAGCAGGCAGTTCCATCGCCTTGGACCTCGAATCTTTGCGATTCCTGGAATAGTATGGACACTGCACCGTACTACTAGTATGTCAAGTTCATGCAGTTTTCTTTGCCTCTAAGCCTTTTGTTATGCGTTCCTTTCTGTTGGGATGCCAAATTTCCCGCTGTGGTTTGTGTGCTGTCAACGTATTTCATTCCTTGGTTTGAAGGAGTTGTTTATTGTTGTTTGGTTTCTTTGCGTACTTCATGACCTTTTGTTTGACTTACCGTGGTCCTACTGAAGCACAGGCGCAGGCAGTGAGCATTAAGACGTATGACATTTTTAGATGTTCGCCAACACATGTCATTGTCCAGCCGTTTCTAGCGAACAAAGTACAGCGATCAAGCTGGCATCATCCCCACAAAATGATTCTCCACTTGAGTCTCTCTTTCTCCTTTCCACACCAAAGTCCAAGATGTTGATCACCGGAAAGTCCAAGAAGTATGTTCAGTTCTGATGTTTCTCTGGATTCGAGGTCCAAACGTCGAACGTGGGTTAGCTTGCAGGGGCCCTCCCTGCTAATGCGGTGCGGAGGCAATGCTAATCAACTCAGATCAAAACTTTGGCAACGCGGACTTTTGCCGTGCATGTGCCGACCGCGCATTGTGGTCCTGCTCGAAAGATTGCTTAGGTAGGTAATCGTATGCTTAAGTGGGGCTTTACTTTTCCTCTCGCAAAGCTCGAAAATGCATCATGGGGAAGATCCCTTTTGTTCACCACCTTTTGGTGCAGTCGACCACCAATCAGAGGTCCACTAAGAGAGTGGGCTGGCTTTGTGTACTCCCACTCGGGCATTTTGAAAAATGACACTGAAAGATGTTATAGGCTCACAGCAAAATAGAAACATGCAGCAAATGCCTCTTCTCAAAATGCATTGGGCGGGCAAGTCGTCATCACGGCAGCTAACGATCCAATGGCAAAGCCTGTTGGAAACGGAATCAATGAGGAAAACACGCTGTGCCAAGAATACAACGCGGATCCATTGGAGTCCAGCGAGTTACTTTTGCTCAGTGCTCCTTGCTGAGGCCACTGACGCGACAACTCACAAATTTGGCAGGCAACCTGTGGAACGCTTCGCAAGGGCCTTGGAGATTTGAAACAGTTGACTCTTGGCTATTTAACCAAAACCAGAAAATTCATTTGTGCAATCCGAGTACGAAACCTATGCAACAGTATACATATAGAGAGTGTGTAGTGTAGGTCCTTCGGACCCTCTTGAATACCGCAATGAAAACACTTCCCATCGGAGTGGGTTTGCTAGGCTGCAGAACAAGCGAGCCGAGAGGAATGAGTTCCTTCTATGCCATGAGCACGGGCCGCAATTGTCAGAGCATCGTTGCTTGTGTTTGTTTGTGTTGTTTGTTGGTGTGTTTGTCTGTCTGCCTGTCTGCTTGTCTGCCTTTCTGCCTGCCTGCCTGCCTGTCTGTTTGTCTGTCTGTCTGTTTGCTTTTAATTGTTCTTTATTGTTTTTGTGGTTATGGAAAAAGCCTCAAGAGCGACCGACAAAAAAGACAGCCGCTCACGTTGTTCCTTGAGCCAAACGCAGGTCGTTTTGACCAGTGGTTCACCTTTCTCAGGTGTTCATGACCTTCATGAAAAGGTATGCTTTGGGTCGTGTGTTTCTTTTCCATTCACACTCCCCCTATGCTGGTCAGAAACTCCAGCATACTTCATGGGGATCCACCGCAGGTTTTTTCGTCTGCGGCTTCACCCAAAAACTCAAAGCTTCCAGCCGACCGCGAATCTTCGCTGTCGTGGCTCAGGCCAGGTGGCCTCACAAAGGGCGTTTCAATGCCCGTGGACATGTCGTAGGGCTCAAGTACTCTGGGTTGTGGACCACCTTCAACATTCATGCCACTCCTGTCCGCTCTCGGCGGAATTGGAAACTGAGGCGACGAGCTCTTAGGTGCCGCCTGCTGCCAAGCCCCTTGCCCTCCAGGTTGTCCTGGATCATCAGCGCGAGGGTGTCCCGGATCGCGGCCATGAAATAGGGGTCCAAGAAGTCCCTCAGGAGGCGGAGGTCCCACCGGCATCGGTCCTTGCGGGGTTTGTCCAAAGGCCCTTTGCAACACCTCAAGGGATTGCCTCTATCATGCCTCTCAGGGGCATAGGTCTGCCGCCCACCATCAGCCCTGACAGCCGCCGCTGAGGATCTCCGCCCTTCGACAGCCGCAGGAGCCCCACCCACTCTCTTCACCGCAGGTGGCATCGATGTTGCTCTTGCCTCTTCGAGGAGGGTGTCGAGCCTCTCATCTGCTGCGCCCACTCTCAGATGCCCTTCGTGATCTCCCGGATCTCGCAGCCTGCCTCCATCTCGCGAGGCTCGTCGCCGGCGCGCGGCGAATCCGCTCATGGGGACCAGCGACCTCAAAAGAGGGTGGACTTCAACAAGCTCTTGGGCTCATAACCTGTGGTTATGGAAAAAGCCTCAAGAGCGACCGACAAAAAAGACAGCCGCTCACGTTGTTCCTTGAGCCAAACGCAGGTCGTTTTGACCAGTGGTTCACCTTTCTCAGGTGTTCATGACCTTCATGAAAAGGTATGCTTTGGGTCGTGTGTTTCTTTTCCATTCACAGTTTTAATTGTCTTTAATTGTTTGCTTGCTTGCTTGTTTGTTTGTTTTTAATTTGTTTTTTCCTACCTGATCTTATGTCAGCTGTCTGACCTCCTCGTCCTCCTCCTCCTCGTCCTCCGCGTCGTCCTCAACCGCGAGCCTCAGTTGGTAGTGTTCCCGCCGGACCTCAACTGCGAGCTTCGGCTGGCAGTGCCCCCGCCGGATAGAATGTCAGAATATATGCTAGATAGAATGTTAGAATGTACGCCAGATAGACTGCCAGAGTATTTGCCAAGTAGAGTGCCAGAGAGTCCACCAGATAGATTGCCAGCAGTGATGCCAAGATAAGATGCAAGCAGCTGTGGTAGACAGAATGCCAGCAACTTTGCCAGATAGAACTCAGACCATATGCCAGAAGAATGATTGGCTCTATGCCAGATTGAATGCCAGGATATGAATGATGGCAGAACAAATGTTGGAATACAGGTCAGAACGCATACCTGAAGTTGGTCCATATGTCACAGCACATGTCAGACAGGAAAAATATCAGAACACACGCCAACAAAGATGTCAGAACACAGTCCAGAACGTTTCCCAGCCTTTATGATAGATGATGTGTCAGAGCACAAACCAGGTTCGATGTCAGAAAAGCGTCAGAACATCATCCCCATGGCATAAATCGCCTTTCAGGGTGGGGATCACTCGAAGTAAGCAATTGTTTGTTTTTTTTGTTTACCTGTTTGAGTGTGCAAGCAAGCCCTGGAATCACGGGTCAACCTTGGCTGCTTCAGCACGCAGGGAGTCACATTGCAGATCGTGGTTTACAAAGCTATGCAATTTGGTGAGATAGTGAAGTTTTTGGCCATGTTTGAAGGAATTTTAGTCCTGCTGGTTCAACTACTAATGGTTAAGTTACGCGTCCCATTTGTGATTCCGATGGTCTCAGTCTCTATTACCCGGGAATAATTTCTATGATCTTACCCCATTATTGGGCCTGGCTCCCTTATTGGAACCTTGGAGTGGCTTCGTTGATCTCGCTCCCTTGTTGAAACATGTGAACTTCTGGGGACAGGTTGTGCTCTTGATTTGGGATCAAAATTTGCATCTTGGACCTTCCGTTGCACACAGCTGCACTTTTACTTGGTACTTCAGGCCGATTTTGTCCTGTAGGTTGCCTGGCGTGGTGACTGCTTCCTCCGTACACCCTGGCTTTTGTGTTCGGGTATGGGGGGGATGTTTTATAAAAAGGAGGTGTTGGTGAGTGCCTTTGTTACAGCCAGCATGTAGAGGACAAGGCTAATCACAACGTTCGTTCTTCAGTAGACCTTTTTTTGTCCTGGCTGCTTCGAATACGCTTGGAGAGCTTTGTAACAAGTAGCACAAGATGCGCTCGCATATAATCTGCCTCCTTTCATTTGCCAAAGTCTCATCCTATCACAGGCATGCCTGAGTTTGGCTGCCTTCTCAGCAGGAGAACAAGTTGTGCCATTGTGTTTCAGCCCATGTGGTTGGTTTTGGCGTGAGCAGTGCTTCGTTGAAGGTGAATGCCGTTACGTTGAACCAAAAAACGTGTTCCGATGATGCAGTGATGGTTTTGACTGGGAAGTGCTCTTTTCTAGCGCGCAGGTCAATAAGCTTAGGCCAATAGCAACAGGGCAACACTCTCCCAGCTCAGTTTTTATGGCACCAGTTGGCCGTTGTTGACTTGGCTTCCTTTCGACAAGGGCCATGTGCTGGCTGTTTTCAACCTGAAGCGCTGTTCTGGCGGCCAAACAAGGATTCGCTCACTTGCACTGTGCGATGCTCATAGATAACCCAAGCAACACATTGAATCGCTTTGGACCTGTTGATGAGACCTCGTCCAGTTGATGTCCCTTGTTCCCATCAACGTAGTGGTATGGTGGCGTAGTTGCTGGGAGTAACTGAGTAGCAAGCTTAGCCTCACAAGCACTTGCCAATTTTTGTTTATTGCACAGTAGGGCTATTGTCACCGTGCTTCATGGCAGCCTGGAACGCTGGTTCGTTCAATGCATTCCATTGCGGCCAAAGCAGGGAGGAGTTGGCCAAGCAGTGTGTTCAAGCGGTTTGCATTCAAGGGAGACCAATCAGATCAACCTGTGTGAGGTTCCACCGCAAGAAGTTTGTGCTGTCCAGCCCCTCAGAGTCTGGATGAAAAGATCTATGAGTGAAGAAGTGGGTTTGTCCAGCGATAGTTTTGCACTCAGCTGTTAAACTTGCAGGCCAGACAAGGAGAACGCTGCGCAAAAGAAGAGACGGCTCACAGACATCAGCAGACCCTGCATGCTTTGCACGCCTTGTGCATGCCATGCATGGTTTTGCTTTTAAAGCCGTGGCTGCATTTGCCAGGTTGCATGGGAATGGAAGATGTAGAAGAAGATGCCCAGGTTGATTCGGCAGCCAGGAGCGCTTGTTATGCTGGTCTTCCCACTCCTTGAGGCAACAGGGCGGCGAAAAGCAGCCTACAGTGGAGGCTTAGTACTGGCTCCAAAGGCCGCCATTTTTGAGAACGACTTGATTTGGTGCTTGTCCATCGCTTGGCGCAACTCTGTTTTGCATTTGACGTGGACGAATTTTGGCTCTGACCCAAGCTCAAAGAAAGGACATTCAGTGCTTGTTGCAAAACTTCAGCAACTTACTAACATCAGAAGAGTGCTCTTACTTTGAAGGCATGCTTTGGGGTACGGTGGATGGCAAAGATGTGCACTTAGTCACTCTGAAGACAGAAAAGTTGGAGGCGCTTTTGGTGCGGCCTATGTTTGTGCGCTGCGTATAGACTATATACATCTATATACCGTAGTCCATTAGTCCATAGTGTAAAATAGATTCTGGAGTGAGGCCAACACAGTATTTCACTTGACTCACTCACCCTTGAGTAGTAGCACAGTAGTAGTAGCACTCCCCCTTGAGTAGTATATCGCTGATTAATGTTGAGCTGGCTGTGTTGCGGTTAAGCATCGTTGATTCTTTGAACCACGATCACATACTGACACTTGTTTGTAACCGTTTGCCGCTCTCGTTTGCCCCCGTTGGCCTCAAGTGTCCAAGTTATGCTGAAGAACATGACTAGATTCTTGCTACCAGTAGCGATGCAATTGTTACTACTACTTGTAGCGATGCCCCTGCTGCTACTAGCTTCTTGTAGTGGTTGGCTTGTCGGGACACGTGTAGTCTTGTCGTTCTAGATTTGTCATTTGTGTAGATGTTCTCGCGGGTCGTCCACACACAGCATACATGTTGGCAAAGGTGTGGTTTGGCAGGTAGATGTTTGCAGCCTTGGAGCCGCTTTGGTGGCGGTGCGCGTGAAGGCAGATTGTTTTGTGGTCTAGAGTCTACAGTGTGGTGTTTTGATGTACGCTGTGCCGCAGGTTCGTGGAGAGTCGATTGATGTGGTGCTTGGCTCGAGCCCACAGATTGTGTAATGAGGTCACAAATCATATTTTCATGCAAGGTCATTTATCAGAACTAACTTGAACTTATTGTAGGTTATGCCATGAACTGTTTGATGCGGATATGTGGTGTGGATAAAGACCACAAAACTGGATACCTACCACGCTGACCATGACAGGCTACGAGACGTTGGAGAGAAGCTTGCTTGCATGTTTGCGACCTATTAGTCCCGTTGCAGGCCACGTAGCATCCAACCACTTGGACTAAGACTTTTTATGTTGGCAAACCAATTTGTTGACCGGTTGGTGTGTTCAAATAATACTTTCACATGATTGGATTTGTTTGCTTTATATGTGTTGTTCTCGTATAGTCAGGGTCTCTCTGCAGGCACCCTCGAATGATTTTGGGATTTAAGAGCTGTTGGTTGACTGTGCTTGGTTTCCTTGTGCAAAAAGACTCATTTGATCTGGCATTGTTGACAGGGATTCTCAAGGTCAGGCTATGAGAAACAAACCCATGGACTCTTGAGCTCTTCCACGTTGTTTTTGATTGAAAGGAACCTGCGAGCAGGTATCATTCCAATGTAGAACTTGAGGCCTGCAAGCGTATTCTTGCGAAAGCAGATCCAATCCACACAAATAAAGCCCATTGGCCAAGTAAACATGATTCCTAGGGACCTCTGCCGCCCAGCATTTCAGATTGACTTTGTGATCTTTGTATGCCCTTGCACAACTGACACTTAGGATACACCAACGGAGGAAAGCCTAATTTTGGCACAGTCGTTGGGCGGTGTCAGGGCACCTGGCTGCTACCAAACTTGAACTTTTTTCTCAGCTAGATCTCGCTAGTAGGTTGGAGGCCATCGCTAGGTTGGAGGCCATCGTTAATAGGTTGGAGGCCATCGCTAATAGGTTGGAGGCCATCGCTATTAGGTTGGAGGCCATCGCTATTAGGTTGGAGGCCATTGCATGCCATTGCTTCTAGGTAGTTTTTTTTTTTAAATCAAATTCATGCTTTGACATGACAATGTTTCTTTCAGAAACATCGGTCCTACGTGTTTTCTTTTGCATCGTGTCTTCTGTGCCCTCCTGCTTGCAAGCTCAACAATCGCTTTGGGATATCACATTTGCAAAAGGCATCCACAAGCCTGCATAGTCTATAGTGCTAAAAGAGGTTGTGTTCTTGTGCTAGGTGGGTGTTCTTGAAATTTTCTATAGTCATACCATGTCCTACCCAAACACGTCTTTCTTTTAAGAACGGATTGATAAACTCGTGGATCTGAGGTGCTAATCGAATTGCTCACGCAGCTTTTGAGCTTGATAGCCAAGAATACAAGCTCGATGCAAACAATGGGAGTCACCACCTGCATGGAGGCCATTTGGCACTACCATGCACTACCTGCTCGACTCATTGACGCTTTAGCTTCCTTCAAACATTCAGTCGTTTCATTCTCCCTGCTTCTTGAAAGGCACAAAGGGCTTTTTCTCACAAGTCTTTGAAGTGGTGGAGGTTTCCGAGGAGCAGGCCTGGCCTAGCATGCCTTGTGGCGGAAGAGAGCGACAGAGCTCACGAAATTTGTTGCCACATTTCGACAAGAACCACGGTTTGCTACAACCTTTCCGTTTTTTGCTGCACGTTCTGAGGTCACTTTGACTCTCACAGAGCAAGATGGAGCTATGGGATACCCTGGCCAGGCACCTTCAGTGGGCACACACTTTGGTTTGGTCTACATACCATCCACTTTACGCCTTAATCCCTTGCTACTCAATGCACCATAGCACTTGGACATTTGAACTGAGCAGATGAACTTGCACGCTATCAGGTGGATGTGAGTGTCACATATTCATTGAGCAGGGCGCCAAGTGTTGTAGAGCAGTTGGTGGATGGAGAAGCATGGTTCTGAGTTTCAAGCTCAGATGATGGAGAGCTGCACTTTCGATATGCTGCGGTTACGGATAAAGCTACTTTGGTCAGCATGTCTTTTTCTCAGACTTCGAACACTGCTGCAATGAGCCAGGTTTGAACATTTAATGCTTGTCAGTGTCGGATGAGGACAAATCACGCGTACTGGAACCTCAAGGGTCATCAGGTCACTTGATTCTAGTTAGATTTGAATAACGCACTGCCATCAAAGGGATATATTTCTTCCACAGGATTCACAGGAAATATGCCTGTCAGGCTGGCAATGTCCTGGATCATACTCTGATGGTTGCAGCCTCACGGACGACTGCCACTGACGAGACTCTCGCCATTACAGGCCTCGGGCCTCAGATCTCTGAGAAGACAATGATGGACTATGCGAACCTAATGGGGGCAGGAGAGTTAGTACCTGGGAAGGCCGCTTTGGTGTGAGCATGAGGCAGAATGTGATGGACCAGGGAACAGAGACCAGAACGGTTGTAGACAAAAGGCTCAAAAAAGTGTAAGCAATGTGAGGGATGGCATATACAGGGTTGGAAGTGTGATCATTGTGCAGAAGAGGGACATGACATGCTTTTCGTCTCAACTCTGCTCCCGTGCTTCTTTGTTGCGTCCCTGAGGTGAACTTCCTGAGGTTGCTGGAGGTTTTGACTTGCAGCTTGGCGTACCTACAGGGCAAGAGCTCATTTCACAACCAAGAACCAAGTCTCCAAGTTGTATCATGTTTGTTGGATGGCTCCTTGTTCAAAATTCCTGAGACATGTCATAAAACATTGGTTTGGTGCCTCGAAAAATGTGTCATCCAAGGCGACACCCTCGCTTGCTGCAACAAGCTGTGGCCACAGAGCTGTGCAGGTTGACACTAATGAATCAAATGAACTCTTGCAAATACGGATGCAACATTCCAACATTGAACATGCCGGAAGACGCTTCCAACACTGGATATATATATATATTTATATAGTCGTGTTTGGACACAATCAACTGGCAGAAATGGAATTGAGGCTCTTGAAATTGTGGGTTAGAAGATATCACATGAAAAGTCATTGGAGGCAACGGCTTTTATTGACGTACCCACATTCATCCAAGACAACATCTCCATTTGGCACACAGGTGGAGGCCCTTACTCTGACTGTGGTCGGACCCTCTTGTAGACGTAGATGTCCACAATTGTTTTACAACACATCTTTCAGCCCGCTGAGACCGCCTGTTAGCTTTGTTGACCGCTTTCCTGGCAAGGAACCTCAGAAAATGAGTCACTCATCAAGCGGATGACAAGCACAAAGCCTTAGTCTAGGATCAGGAATTTGGGTGGCCAAAACTGAGATAGCTGAGACAAAAATGAAAGGTGCTCAAAGACATGCGGGCTACTCAGCCGCTAGTGTCTATAAATTCCGAAATCGTAGCGTGCGCAATCATCCTTCCTGCCTGGCAACGCTGGAAGCAAAGACCGTGGTCCAACTTTCCTACCTGACCTTTTTCCAGTACATAGTTCCGCTTGTCACTACATGCTTGTCAGGACTGGGAAGTCATCAGTTATCTCCTGTCCTTGTGCGCACTGGCTTTCCCCAGCACACAGAACTGCAGACAAGATGTAATTATATCCGTTCTACAATCCTTTGAACCCCTTTATTGCGCATTCCTACAAGTGTTTTACGAGCACTTCACTAGCATCAAAAGCCGTCACTGACGCAAGTCGCAAAGAGCTTCCTTGCGCGACGGTGTGTGGACGAAGCAGTTAAATGGCAACGAATGGTGTTGCTGCGATGCCTGCAAAGGCTGTAGAGGAAGCAGGTCCGATTGACCGCAACTACTGCCGGGGGCTTACGGCACACCTAGCTGGGAGCAATGCCCACCAACAATTGTGCAAGTTGCAAGGATACTTGCCATCAGTACATGTTGGTTCTTGCATCATGCATCCTAAATCCAGGACCAGAGATCATTGGCGCTTCCTACTCATCAGTCAGCCTGAAAGACTATATCCTTTCAACCTTTTAAATGGCAGCGTGTGTGGTAGAAGGAAGACTTGTGCAATTTGCACAGTCTGAAAGTTGTTCAATACTTTCCTGCTGGAAGTGCGGATTTGTGAGTGTGTTCATTGCACACTAGGAGGTCTCTCAGTTCAGCAAAGTAGCTTCTTTCTGTCGAGATTCCTACATGATTGCTTCAGATGGACGAGTAATATGCTTGTGTTTGTGCATATCTGTTCAAACGAATTAGGTTTGGCCCTCACAATGAGGCTTGGATCGTCCATCCGGCACACCGGGTCGGGAGATTCTTGCGGCACGCCTGGTTGGTCCCAACAAGGTGCGATGCACCTGACCTGGCGGACCTGGCAAGGAGCCCCTACTAGTAGTAACAAGTGCCTCGCTAGTAGTAACAGGTGCCTTACTAGTAGTAACAATGTTTGCTATTAATCTATTAGAATTGAACTTAAAATTAAATTAACTAATAGCTTCTTGTTACTACTAGTAAGGTCCTTGCTCCTCGTAGCGATGCCAGGAGCCCCGTTCGTAGCTTCTTGCTCCTAGTAGTAAGGCCAGGAGCCCCTAGTAGCGGCCTGGCTGATGAACATGAATAAACTCTGTGTCTATGTGTGAATTGTGTACCCAGTGTACCCTTCCACCAGCCTTACCAGGTCACAATGGAGATTTGGACTGATCAACCTGGGCTGCAGGCCATTGAATGTTGTTTTCATTTGTGTTCTTTTTTTGAACAGTGCACAATAATCGAGACGCAAATCATGAAAACTACATGTGCGAGATTGACTATTTGCGTAGTCCTCCAGAATTGTCAGGTGTTCACAGGCTCCAATATTGCTGCAACAGGTGCGTGATCCTTCATCTCTTAGCTCTTTGATGCTCTTTATGGAATCTTCCAGCATCAATCATTGGTATATTTACATGTATTTACCACGTCGTGAAGGCCCGGGCACATGGTGGCACGGCAAGGCTTGAAGTCCTTTCATACAGCTCTTTAGTAAGCCTGTGTTCTTGTGACTATTTTGTTCCTCAGTCTCATCAAGCAGCTTTGGGTTGCAAGGGCTGCGAGTGGCAGCAGTTCGGTGCCATTTGTTTGGAACCGCAGCTTTGGCCGGATGCGGTTTGCTCCTCAGTTCGCTGCAAATTTGTCTCTCTCTCTCTCTATATATCATTGCGTCGGCAGTGCGGTCCCCGATTCTTCCGCCGAAGACGCGAAGCTCCGAAGACGCAAAGCTTCAGAGCTTCAACTGAAGACGCGAAGCTCCAAAGACGCGGAGCTTCGGAGCTTCAACCGAAGACGCGAAGCTCCGAAGACGCGGAGCTTCAAAAACGAAGACGCGAAGCTTCAGAGCTTCAACTGAAGACGCGAAGCTCCAAAGATGCGGAGCTTCACAGCGTGCCTGAAGACGCGGAGCTTCACCCGAAGACGCGAAGCTCCGAAGACGCGGAGCTTCAGAGCTTCACCCGAAGACGCGAAGCTCCGAAGACGCGGAGCTTCAGAGCTTCACCGAAGACGCGAAGCTCCGAAGGCGCAGAGCTTCAGAGCTTCAATAACGAAGACGCCGAGCTTCAGAGCTTCAACCGAAGACGCGAAGCTCCGAAGACGCGGAGCTTCAAAAACGAAGACGCGGAGCTTCAGAGCTTCAAAGCTTCAACCGAAGACCCGAAGACGCCGAGCTTCAGAGCTTCAAGAGCTTCAGGAGCTTCAAAGCCAAAGCAAAGACGCGGAGCTTCAGAGCTTCAAAGCTTCAGAACGATTCCGGGACCACGCTTCCGATGCGGTCATATATATATATATGTGGGTGTTTGCAACTGAACGGCTTGTTCAAAGGTACATCACCCGGAGTTCGAGAGTTCAATTCTTCGACCGGGACAAACCTACAAGCATCATTCCTGGCATGTGTTTATCGTTTGGGTCTCAAACTGTAGCGGCCAAGGCATACAATCAATGTGATTCTTTTTCTTGCAGCTTGCATCAGCCAACGGGCTTTGCATGTTAGGTGGAAGATTGAGTCTTGACTTTGATGGATAGCCTCAATTTCAAGTGTACAGCAAATTTCAGCAAACATACAAATTTTGAGTGTGATCGGTGTGATCTTGATTGCAACGTCAGCCAGAGTACCTCGCCACAGAGCGTGGCACTCCAGACACAGCAACAAAAGATTCTACATCTCACTGAATGAAGGCTGAGATATGTATGTTGCACAAAGTGCAACAAACGTTTAAAAACCAGGTTTAGAAACTCAGGCAGTGAGCAAAATGCTGGTGCCCGTGTTTCCGTTCGCATGCTACCTACAGGGAAGTCCCGGCGACGGCATTGCACCCTTCTGTGCAGGCAGGTCTATATGACGATTTTGTCATGCTTCTGGATTTCAACAGTCTGTACCCTTCAATCATCCAGGCCGATGCTTTGCCTCACAGGATTATGTGAGAGACTTTCTCAGTGTTCAGGAGCATAACATTTGCTTCACCACAGTCGACAGACCGGATGAGAACGAAGTCGCCAAGTTGGCCACAGAGGTTTTTGGATTTGGGATGCTGCCATTCATTTGAAGCCCTGACACATTAAACACGTCGAACAGTTGCTTCATTTTTCAATGCAGTAGATCTGACTACATAGACACAATTGCCAACGCATGTATGCAATTAGTGCATGTACCGGAGAAGCAAGATTGATTGGTTATATAAGCGGTGCTGTTGAACACTCTTTTTCCTGGACTGTGTAAAGCATCGGTGGGAAGTAAAGCCAAAATGATGCGCGGGCACCAACACCTGGGAGACAACGGGAGACAAAGCGGTCCCAACGACCCATCTGAGCAATGCGTTTGAGGAACATGCAATTGAACCGACCGCACATTGATGCAGCTAACCCTGGCCCAAAGCAGTCAGCCACAACTACTTGTACTGGCTTCAAGATGGCCAAACACCAAATTGTCTCGCATCCAATTAATATTTGCTTGTGGATTCCATTCAAACTTGCCTCCAATATGTTTGTTGTCACTAGGTCTGAGCTGTTCTTGGCGGCCCTCTGTGTTGGAAAACATATACAATATAAATCAATATAATATCATATATGTAATTATACGGTATACGTCGCTACTGATGCGTGCTAACGTCTTTTCCAGGTCGGCCATCCCACTTGGGGAATTGGTTCGACAGATATGTGATATCACAAGTAGAAAGCCAAGAAATGAATAAACCTACATCAAGCCTTATGAAAGCGCCTCGAGTGCTAGCGCCGTAGCTCCGAGCATCACGAACATTAGAGCAGAATCAGGCTGGCAGGATACTAAAGCAATGGCAAAGGGTTACCGCTTAAAGTCGGTGTTCTTCTCATTGGAGGCTAGCTCAAGCATATCTCGCATTATCTCACCAAGAATCTTTAGTTCCCGCGTGCTACAACTTAGAGTGTATCAGAGATCACGACATGACTAAATAGCACACATGTTCTTCCTATACGTTCGATTACTTTCGATCCCCTTTAACACAGATGCGCAAAAAGGTGCAATCAGCATAGGCCCATGGTGTTTGATGTTTTTTTTGCCGGGCAACATCGGAGAAAGAAGAACGGCTGTGCTTTTTTGCGTAGTTGAAACATTAACTTGTTACTAGTAGCTTCTTGTTGCCAGTAGTAATGCCCTTGATACTAGTAGAGATGCCCTTGTTGCTAGTAGATACTAGTAGCTTCTAGCTAGTAGCTTCTATGGTCAAATATGCAACTTACGACATCGGCCCATCGGCGTTGGAAGGCGCAACTCTTGGCAAAGACACATGCAGATGGAATGGCCGACGAAGGCATCCTTCCGCAGGCTATGGTCACTGAGGAAACCCTTCCACGCAAGCACTTTTTTTTTTGCATAACTTGAGGTTCTACGTCGTTTGGTAGACAGCCGACGCCAAGTGAAAGCTGCTATGAAAGCTGCCAGAACCCAAGTGAAGGAAACTATAAGCATGCCTGTTGCTTCCGTATTATCACAAGTAATTTAGGGCTTTAGCTACTGTAACACAGACTTGACGGATCTTGACAGCAACTTTTGAGGAAAAGAACCCAAAGCTTCTACAGGTTCTTGAGATCAGGCAGAAGGCGTGGTTGCTTTTCTCGTGTTGATTTGAGGCTGGAGAAAGACATACCTGATGATGACGGCGGTGATGATGATGCTGCTGCTGATGATGCTGATGACGACCAAGTTGGCTACCATTGATTGTTTGCAAAAAAGATAATTCTTTTTGTATCGTTGTTGCAGGCCCTCAAGCTCACTGCCAATTCTATGCGCCCCAACCCTGAAGCATCACAACCTTCAAGTTGCGCGGAAAGTCTCCAGTGAAACTGTGCCACCAGGTATGGTTGTTTGGGCTTTCAACACAGCCGTTTCCACGTTTGGGACTCAACATTTTGTGAGACTGATTGAGATCTTCTTTTAATTTAAGGCACGACAAGAGCCCTGTGCACGTTGCCCCAAAGATTTATTAGGAATCACTTCGATCATGCAAAAGGTTCTTCAAGGAAGCTTTTCCTGCCATCAAGGAACGAGGAGTTTCCTTGAAGAACCCATCGCTCTTCTGCTTTCTCAGCTACTAATAGCTTCAAGTCGCCTCGACTTGAGCCCTGATGAGAGAGATGCCTTGTGGTATGAACCTGGGTGTGGTTCAGCTACCTGTTTGTCTATTTATTCTTGACCAACCTGCGGAGCCCATCAAAAAAGGGAACCTGTATGCACATTTAATATATATATATATTGTCACGAAAGCCAGCCGATAGGCAAGGCTTGAGGTAGCTATGCGAACGAAGTGAGTAAAGGGGGTGTGGGGGGTGGTTGCGAGAGGGGCAATCTTGGAGAGGCTGACCCAGAGCCTGGTGGGGGAGAGCGAAAAATAACGAGGTGGTCACTTGGTAGTGAAAATGAGTAGTTTTTGGGGATGTTGTGATGCCGGTGATGTATATAATTGACGGCCAGTAGTGCATCATTAGCATCACGAGTGGCTAGGAGGCAATGTAAGCCGCTTTCTACCAGGGGTGGGAGTTCATGTCAACGATAGGAAAGAGGGGACAAGGGGACGCGAAAAGTGGTTGGAACTATTTGGAACTTCTCCAGAAAAGGGAGATGCGCGCCTCTCGTGGCCAGTGAAATAGTGTTCGACCAGGGGTGAAAGGGAGGTGTGTGTCTCTTAAGACATTCACTGTCTTAAGTAACTCTTTCTCCCACTGTCTTGCAGCGCGGCTGTGCCACAGCTTCTTTATGCGCGACCTCCGATAGAATCAGTGGAGTGGAGGTCGTAGTGACCAATAATCATCCACAGCATGTGACGTAGCCCGTGCTTTTGCTTTTGCAATCAGAGACTCTCTTGCATGCGATGAAAAGGAGCGCAGACCTATCAAGTTGGACAAGTGCAAACTATGTTTTTTCTCTCCGGACTTTGTCTCCCCGATAATTGCATGCCTCACTTCCGAAGTAGATCGCTGCTTGCACCTTCATGACCACCACTTCCTCCAATAGTGTTACTGAACATGACCAGACCCAATGGTGACCTTGACCTCAATCAGCGATGGTTAATCCCATATTCCCCACTTTGAGTCTAATATCCAAGATTTTCCTAGCGTTGATTAAACCAACTTCCGTCGGGGTGCCCTTTTCACCTCCGAAACAGTCCTCCACCAACACGAAAAAGGGCACTCCCCCCAACCTTGTATTCTACTTTCTCTTTCTACTCCATGCAAATGTATGCAATATCCACTTCACTACATAAAGGTACGCTTTGCCCGATGTTCGCCAATCACTTCATCTTGCACGCTCGAGGGGCGGCAATATCAACTTCACCACTTCCAGCCCTCTACCTTTATATACATATAATATGTTTCCTCGCGAAAGCCTGCCGATGACCTGGCCCCTCAACCCCCCATAAACATCTTTGCTCACTGATTGGCACCACACAGCAAGCTACCACCCCTCACTTCCTTCCAGGTGCCCTTTTTCACCTCCAAAACGAGCCCGAACCACGACGAAAAAGGGCCCCCCCCGAACCTAAGTACTAGACGTTCCATTTCTATCTCCTATGAGAGTGGCTGCGATGTCAACTTCACCACTTCCAGCTACTCTTTCTCCACTCTACCCTCTAACACACCCCTGACCTAAAACAAAAAAAACGGCCATGCCTGGAAACGCCAGCCTAACCCTAAGGGCACCCCCCTTGGTGCAAAGGCTGGCTTTCGTCCCCTCCCTTTTCAGGTATGATACCGTATGTGTTTGCCTCTTGCTTCCCTTCATTGCTTGCCGGTCTAAATGATCCCCTCCTTCATAAAAGAATTGCAAGTGTGGCGGATATTTTCGCAGCCTCTTGCCTGGCCGAGGCAAGGCCATTGGCCGCCCTGATTACAGCGATGGGTCGAGAAGCCCTGCAATCGACCATTTCTGCACCTCGCAATTTGAATGCAGCCTCAACACCCTGTGTGTGGGGTTCACCACCTGTCGTCAATCTTGTGGCACGCATATGTTTGGTTTCTACTCCATGTTCCGTAATTATTAGTCGCCTGGAGGTGTGGGACAAGAGTGGCGATGTGGTAGCTCTTCTACCACCCGAGCATGGTAGCTCCTACCACCCTAGCTTTCAGTTCGTTTGATTGCATGCACCCGTCGGTTGAACATTTGACCCTGGTTGTAGCCCAACTCAATGCAGCTGTGGGGAACACATGTTTTTTAGAACCTATTTCTTTACATGCTGTTTGGAATGGTTGGAGCAAGCAAACGATCTAGCAAGGAGTAGAGGGGGCAAGATGACAGAGCAAAATTAACGTCCTGTACTGGCACAAAGTGCCCTAATGCTGCAATGGTTTGTTTATGGCATTAATGTTTGGCACATGAACATGGATACTCCACTTGTTCAATTCAGCCACGGAGCGTCGGGCCTTGCACACAATCCATCCTCAAGTGCGAAAGGGGTTGGTTGCGTTGACAGTTGACGGTGTTGATTTCTAATCATATTTGACGCAGAAATGATTTTTGTTTTGGTCTAAATCACATTGACTTTGTGATTGGGTTTCATCCAAGGTTGTGAACCAAGAATTGCAGCTCGATGTGGCTGGAACTCAGCAGTTTTGCATGATGGATGGTCCAATGATATTGTGCGTGCTAAGGTCTATGGAGACACCGATTCCGTTTTTGTCAACACAAAGACTTCCAATTTCCAGCAGGTTTCCAGCTCAATGGGTTCAACTAATGGAACGCTGGGTTCTTCTCAATCCAGGCCATGCAGATTGGCGAGCAGATCAAACGCTCAGTGAACAAGAGGCTTGATGTCTCATGTTTTGGCTAACGGCTTGAAAACCGCACGTGTAGTTACGTTATGTTACGTTCATGTTGACAGAATGTATGTTTTTCGTGCGGTTCGGTGGTTGCGGGGAGCAGAATTCAACGGCAACTTGGCTGCATCCTGCTGTGTTTTTCGGTGTTTTTACAGATTTGCAGTCTGTGCAGTTTTATCGGCACAGGATGTTGCTTCGGGTCACTTGCTTGCGTGCGCGATGTGCGCCACAGGATGTTGCTTCGGGTCAATTGCTTCGGTAGGGGTGGGGGTGGGGATGACGGGGTCCAAGTGGTGAGGTTCGTTATGATTGGCAACCACAGGATGTTGCTGGCAGGCACAGGATGTTGCTTCGGGTCACTTGCTTGGGGTCACTTGCTTGCGTGCGCGATGTGCGCTACAGGATGTTGCTTCGGGTCAATTGCTTCGGTGTGTGATGTGGGGATGGGGTTGGGGGTGGAGGGTGGGGTGCAAGTGGTGAGATTCGTTGTGACTGGCAACCACAGGATGTTCAATCCGCGGTTACTCTGCTTGTATGCCGCATGCCCGTCAATGGCAATGGCGCTGGGAAGACACTGGCGAAGGAAACTTGAGCCGGTTGACGGCGAATACATTTTTGAAGAGTTGACCAACGACATTCACATGGCCCAGAACAAAAGGGCCAAAGCGGCGACGCAAAGTTGTGTTTCGCTGCAAGTTTGCGTTCTGCTGTGGCCGTAGCGAAACACAAATGGCCTCAAGAAAAGATTCAACAATGTAACCTTGTTTCGCAAGGGTCCAAAACATGGATATGGCCACTTTCCATTGTAAAGCACACAGTATTTGCACCACTGGGATGTATATAATCCCCCCGTAAATGCAACTTCCAAAGGACTTCACACAAAAAAAGCACAAATTGCTAACTAATATGATGGGTTCCATCACAACCACACGTGCAGTTTTCAATCCGCCGGCATGTTTTTCCTCTACGTGTTAGTTACTGTTAGTTAGTTGGTGGCAAGTGGCAAGTATAATTGTTGTTTGCAGGTACAAAAAACTTGAGATTGAGATAGATGGAGTATTTGCATAGACCTCAGCCAGACTTCAGCCAGAAACAGGACATAGGCATCTCGATGTTCAATGTTCAGAAATGCAATTGTGGAATATTTGATTTGGTTCTAGGTTCGCTTGATGCTGCTGAAGAAAAAAAAGTATGCTGCGATGAAGGTGCTTTCTGCTCAATGTGTGATTTTTCCTGGTGCAACTGTAATTGCTACAGGTTTTGAACTGGGAAGAGCAGATCTTTGAAAAAGAGTTCAAAGGCTTCGTCATCAGTTCGTCATAAACTATGACATGAAACAAACCATGTTCAACAAAGGTCACACCGTGAAACCTTGTTAAAGGCATGCTAGCAAACAGGCCTCGACATTGTCAGACGCGACTGGTGTGGGCTAGCAAAGGAAATGGGTGAGGCGCAGATGTTACACTTCACTCGCAGTTGCAACCGTGCGTTGCAAAACCAGATGCAAGAAAGGCGATCTTGATGAGAATCCTGGATACAAAGTCAAACCAAGAAGAGTTTGGTCCCGAGATGGAGTTTGTCAGAGAATGCAAACTCTTGCCCGCAGCTCTGAGATGGAGCATGATGTTTTTGGACACCGACATGTATAGCGAAACAATAATGTGTGATTTTCAGGTCTCTTCACTGGGTACATCAGTATTTGGCTGACAAGTCCAAGGAAATGGATGATGGCAAGGTTCCAGATTTGCATCTAAAGGAGGTGCCGGTTGGCTAGTTTTGTCTAGGTGTCGCTGGACAAGTTCATCATCACAAAGGGCCTCACAAAAGATCCAAAGGAGCTGAGTTGACTCTTTGCAATCTCAGTTCGATTCTAGCTGAGACAACATTGAACTCTCTTTGCCTGTGCGCTGCACAGCATTGCACAGTAAGTGGTGGAGGACTACCCGGATGCCAAAACCCAGCCCCATGTGCAGGCCGCTGCAGCGTTGCTTGAGCGCACATACTTTGCTTGAGACTCCATATATCCACACAAGAGCCGCAGGTAGCACTGAGATTGATTTCTCGTGGGAAGCATGTTCAGACCTCAGAAGCAATTAGGCGCACATGAGACAGAGCCAAGTTGTACTGAGGTTCGCCCAGGGCAAGAGATCGGATATGTTATTTGCAATCCAACAGGCACATGTTGCTACATTGCTACACTGAACATGTGTACTCAGCTGAGTCCCAAAAGGACTTCAGGGTGCCTAGCTTCATTCAGTGATGCTTGCTTCTGCCTGTATGTCGCACCAGGGGATGGTACCGCCAAAGATCTCCTTGCTGAACGTGCACGCCATCCACATGACGTGCAGACGGACGGATTCTTGCGCCAATTGCTCGATGGAGCAAGTGCCAAATGCACACACCTGGCGCCAGGACCAAAGCCTGAGCCTGGATATTGCATGGTACAAGAAGCAGCAGGCGGCAGATCCAATAGATTGGCCTTTGATTCCATGAATGTGTGGCTTTGGTGGCTGGGTGTTTCCAAGTCTGCGAAGGTACATCCCCTCGTTTCTCGAATACTTGCAGTTGTGGAAGGCACAAGCTCTGCAAGACTCGCTGAATGCTTAGGCGAGGGAAGCCTGTTGCCTTGCGATGTGTTGGGAGGTCTTTTGGGTGAGTTGGTATTTGCAACTCTACGCGAAGAACCATGTCGAAAGTCCTAGAAGAATTTATTCCTGTATATTCAAGTGTTGTCCTTCCCATAATAACGTATCCTGCTTTTGGTTCGCTCTGCATGCGTTGTTGCCTTCAGGCATTGATTCTACGCGATTCTGTCAGGTGCGTTGTGGCTTTGACACGGGCCTGCCCTTGATTGCATTGGTGTTGCTGCTTGTCAGGTTGTCCGCGCGGAAGAAAACGGAAGCTTGCCTGCATTGCGACACTCAAAGCTTGGCAATGGCATGGTGTGTGGCTTTGTTTTAAATATAGCTGTGCTTGAGGAGATGTTATGGAATCCTGCATGCCGGTGCGCTGGGTTGGCCTACTGTGCTTGTTCTTAATTGAGAAGCCTTGAATATATGCAGTTGGGTGAGTGTGGATTCACAAATCTGGTGCAGTCAATGGCTACCGACTTGAATGCCATTTTTGACCTTGACTCAGCTCTCAAGCATTGGACGGGTGTTATGTCGTGTAAGTGCATGATGGATAAGGACCGCAAGCTCCGGTTCAATGGCTTCCCTTCGGTGCTCCAGGGAGTTAAATGCAAATCGTGCAAAGCCCTTAATGCATGCCACATCTCAAAATGTTGAAGTTCTGACATCAACTCCCAGGTAGTGTGACAACAAAGTGGGAGCAGCGCTGCTCCTGGCTTCTTGTGATCAGAGAGCGTTTACGTGCAACTGTTTGCAATTTGATGTGAGAAGAAGAGAAGAGTGATTAGGCTGAGCCGGCCACCTTCACGTGTGTTTCTTATCCAGGTTCTTGCTTGGCGAGTCGAGCTCAAAGGCTACGCTGCATGGGCTTTGTTTGTTACGTGTGAGCCATTGTTCTCTCATGCAAGTTACAAGCCTTCTGGAAGGTGACCTCGGGTCTTTTTGTTTTGATTCATGGCGAATTGGTCTTGATGAGGATTTGTATTGCTTTGACTCATGGCCTGCTTGCTGGACGGACACCTTACCTATGTAGCAGGTTGACGCTGTTTGTATCAAGTTTACGAGAAAGCTCCAGGGAGCAGAGAAGATGTGGCTTGTACTCACTACTCACTACTGTGTTGTTTAACGCTTGGGCATACTCACAATATTGTTCAACGTATTTTTGGTATGCAGAAGCAGCTACTCATTTGTGCGGAGTTGTTGAAGGCCCAGCAGGCTTTTCGCTGCGCTGCCTGCCAGACGCCGGTGACGGAGCCAAAGCGGGTCGGTGGCGTTGAGGGGAGATTGCAAGTGTTTTCTGAGGTGGATGCCAAGGTTGTTCGGAACCTTTGGTTCATGCAACTGAGGTGACTTGGTTTGGAATTTTGATGCACGCGCTCACAGCTAAATGTATTTGAGTTGACACGGTTCCACCGCCGAAGGCGGCTTGTCAAGGAGCATGGCGAAGGCGGGGAGCCTCATAAAAAGGTGGTGAGCTCAACAGGAAGAGACCTGTCCTGTCAGGTTGGGTGCAGCCAGAAGAGAGCTCTTGCATAGCACCATGGCGAATCAAGTGTTGCTTCTTCAAGCCCTTTGTCTATCCTTGTCTATGTGTTCTATGACTCCAGGTGTCCTTATACTATAGTACTCTGTGTAACCATGTTGAGCTGTCAGACTTTAGTCGTTTCCACCAACAGTATATGTCCAGCGTTGAGTTTAAACTGTTAGAAGAGGTCGTCCTTGTTCGAAGATGATGAAACAGAGTTGCGATGAAGATGCATATTCTTCAACAAGCATGTTGAAATGAAGATGCTGTTCTCCTCTTCCTCCAGCTGCAAGAGGTATGCTTTTCAGTCTCTCATTATAATTCCGTCAGGAATTCTTGAGCCTCATTGACTTGCCTGAGGAGAAGACTCGCCGACTGAACAAGGGGCAAAATCTGGTCAGCGAGAAGACTGCATCTCACCCAGCAGAGCAGAGTCCGTAACTGCACTTTGAACATGATTGACATGATTGAACAACTTTGAACAATTCCCTTCACAACGAATGAAAAAGAACGGGAATTGGCTCCTCGAGATGGGAGATGCAAGAGCTGCTCCTCAGGTCTATGCTGAGCTTGAGTTTGCAACCCACCTTTGTGAATGCGCGAGGGAAAGGGCGGAGGACCATGGAGCAGGAAGAATGCTACTAGTCGTAGTAATGCCCTTTGTTACTAGTAGCTTGCCCCCTACTTACCTAAGTAGGCGCCTACTTCATCAAGGGACAAGGGAGCAAGCTTCTAGCAACTGGACGCAGGGAGCTTCCTTGAAGAAGCGCTCCCACTAACTAGATTTATATATATGGAAACTTAACTTAAAGGGTTGCATGATGGCTTGGTAGGTTGCAGTCCATTCAGGAGAACGACTCTGTCAACGAGACGATCCAGAAAATGAACAAAGTGCGGATCTTGGTGCTGTTTTAAGGGGGCGCCGTTCAACAGTTCTCTCAGCTTTGGTAGTCAGATCTTGCGATGAAGAGATTCAGATTGCAAGCCTTGCTTTGACGAGATTGAAAGGTGCCCCATGATTGAGTTTGGATTATATAATGGACTGGAAGGATAACCTTGCAGAAAGAAGTGGAATTTTGTTGGTAACCTTGCCAAGGACGCTAGTTGTTGGCTTGGCTTCAACAGAACCGCTCTCAGACCGAACTCACAGGCAGTGCATTTTGCCTTATATAAATGTGTTGGTGGCTAAATTCCTAGCGCACGTCCTCGTCCACATTGGTCAGTCCTTACCTGTGAAACCCTTACGATTGCATTTAGATTTTAACTTTGTGCATCTTTTTACCCTGTGTCCCTTTATATAGATGTTCAGATTCATATTATATATCATTGATATCAATTGATAATAATTGATGAGAATTGGAGTTGCTGTACCAGAAACTAAACTTGGATAGAAGATACAAAACCTTAGTTTAGTGATGTTTAGGGTGAAGTTGTTCCTGTGAGTCCAGGAAATTCACAAAATATGTTGTTCTTCAGATCATATTCAGAAAGTGATGGTGTGCGCTCGCCACCTTCGTTCGTGCAACACGCACCAGGGCATCATCCTTGCGTCAGAATTCGGCAGTCGAACGGCATGTCCAAGATGATCCAATGCTTGAAGCTGAGGTTGGAATTGGTTGGACCTGAAGCACATCTTTGGCTCTTTCAATACAACTCAGGCTGTGCAGGCTTTTTGGGCAGCGCTTGGTGTATCAGGGAAGCTGTTTTGTCTTAAGAAGGGTTCTTGTCAAGAACATGTTTCTTGTGTCACGTCGACCGGACCTAAGGCGAGCATAGTACTGCAAAAGTAGTAGGCAAGATGTCCGTGGTCCTTGAACTGAGCTCGCTCCATGGCAAGCGGAGGAGCTGCCCGCACCAGAATATTCTGTCCACAAAATGCCCCTGTTTAACTTCTATTCTATGTTGGAACTGTATCACTATGCCACTATTATGCCACTTAGATGAGTCCTTGTCATGTTGTGACGGTTTGTGGTATGCCTCCAGCGTGGCTGCGTGGCTGCGTTGAATGCTTTCTTGACCAATATCATGGGCCTTGTCAGCTTATTTGTGTGTACCTGCACAAACCATTGTGTGTGTGACCTCTTGGACATTTGGTTAAAGTTGATACCTTTCTTCTACGCTCGCAGACGCTTGGCTTGCTCTTCCAGCTTTGAATGCATACAACGTTTGTTTGACTGGCATGGCATGACCAGAAATGTCCTTCACCTTGAGCTAGCTTGTAGTGAGAAGCCTGTGATTGTTTTGATGTTTTGCGACTTCGTCAAGCTTTCAATGCCTCTGGCAGAGCCTTGAGCTGACAATATTGTCACAGGCTTCATGATTCTGATGGTCCTTCGACCTGTGAGGGCAATTGCACAGACCAGACTTCCCATTTACATTCAGCACCTTGTCTCATTCTGCATGTTTGAACAAGCAAGACAAAAACATGCAAAGACATGTACAGTATACCTTCCACTACATGTCTCGTAAAGAATCTCTCACAACATATACACACGATATGTTGATAACAGGTGCCTTACTAGTAGTAACAAGAAGCTATTAGAAACAAGTGC